GTAGAACTTCGGAGACATCATTAATATAAATAATTTTAATCGCCGTTGAATAAGAAATGTTTCTTTCACAAGAAATGTATAAAATTACAGTACTGTATTAGACTTACGGTACCTAATTTACATACTGACAGACGATAGTTAGCGTAAAAATCTCCGTAGCGTGGCGCCACGCTAGACGGCGGAAATTATATATTTAATTATAACAAAGTTACAATAAGTTAATATATAATTATATATACAGTACCTAATTTATATATAATTAATATATAATTATATGTACAGTACCTAATTTATATATAATTTATATAATACTGTCCAGACAATAGAAATCTCTCTGTAGTTGGCACTACGGACAGCGGGAAAGTAGTTCGGCTGCCCGATGATGTTTGAGGTAATTATAGGGAATTTTTACTATTTTTTATGGATACTGGTCACAATTTTTTCGTAGTTTTATAGGAATCGTAATTATAGGGACTGTAATTATAGGGGGGTCGACTGTATATGCTTTCCTGTAAAATAAATAGTTTACTTATGTATGAATCTGTAGAAATTGTCATTGAATCTTACTTATGATTATGTGCATTCTTGACTCAGTATGTTTGATCTTGCACCATCACACTGACAAGTAGTTGTATGACTGATCATGATCCACTTTTAATCTGTTGTTTTTGAACATTCATTTATGTATTCAGATTTTGCTTTGTAAATGGCTGTTTATTTAATGTTAGAATAAAAGTTTCACTCCATACAATACAGTCTGACAGTTTTCTTTCTTGTTATCTGTATTAATCCTTAACACATGTATACAGTGATTTCTTAATTTACATTTTTAAAATGTGCAAAATTAAAATAATTTACCAAATATTTGTCAAAAGCACTATGAAAGGCCAGCATGTTAGCTTACCATCTTCTCATTTTATTTTATTGAAGATTTTCTATTGTAGCTATTGATTGAAATTATTTGTTGATTGTCTATTGTAAGTGCATAATTTTTTACTTTTGTGTTTGGCTTTTACTTAAGGACTGTAATAATAGAAATCCATAAAATTCAAAAGATGTTAACTTTTTGTATATTACTTATAATTCTGTTTGTTACCATAGCAACAATTTCAAATAATTAAAATAAGAATGCTGTTATCAGTTTTACTAAAGTAAATATGCTAATGCTTTAAACAATGAATGAAATAGACCATCAAAAAGCAATTATTGACAAAAGCTGGAAAATCCAAAAAAATCAAGACATTTCATAGCAAAAGAGCTACAAATTTCCCAAAGTATGGTACATGGAGTGTATCATAAGACATTGTCTATTTTTCAAAAGTCATGTTCTGGTGGAAAATATGGTGCTTGCAATTCACAACTCAACCACAAAATAATCAAAGTCATTTCCAAAAATTGTAGTATGTCACTGAGAGATGTTGCAAAAAAATGTGAATCTAATCAATGGTTCAAAGGGCTAAGCAACATGCAAGTATGAGATCATAAAAAAAAAAAAAAACAAAAAATACCTAAAGTGACTAAAAAATAAGAGAAGATAATTAAAACTAGAGATCAAAAATTGTATTCTTTAATTGGCAGAAGAATGCTTGTTTGGTTTTAGACAATGAAACATAAATGAAGGATGACTTCTTAAGACTTCCAAGCACATGCTATTATACAGTGCTCGAAGGAGAAGTTATTCCAGAATCTCAAACATCAATCAGTGTCGAACAGTTTGGCTCAAAATATCTGATATGGCAAGCAATTTGCCAGTTTGAATTGAAAAGTGTATCATTTGTGACAAAAGAAAATATTACTGCTGAAATTTATATTAATTAATGAATGTTAAAAAAAGTCTTCTTCTTTTTTTAAGAAATCATGGTAGCCATACTTTGTTTTGGCCAGATTTGGCACAGCACACTATGCAAAATCCACAGTAAGTTGGCAGGAACAGCACAGAGTCAATTTTGTACCTACAGACATGACTCCACCAAACATACCACAATGCCAATCAATAGAAAGATTTTGGTATATTGTGAAAAAAGAAACTAAAAAATAAAAGAACAAACAGCAAAAGAGATTGAAAAGAGCAGTCACAATAACTGGAGGAAATACTGTCAAAAATCTTTTGAAGAGCATTCAAAAAGAATGGAGCAAAACTTAAATGTTATAATTATTTAAGTCTTAAATGTATTTTAAAAACAAACTTTTAAATAAAAGTGAAATGTTTCTGATTACATTACAAATAAAAAAGTTATTATCTTTTGAATTTTACAAATTTCTATTGTTACTATCTTTTTTATTTGGTAATGGTAAATTAGGATACAAGAATTACTCTCATAGTTGACATATTTTTTATACTTATTTACATTATAAACATCTGTAAGCCCAATAGTTCTATTAAAGCAAAAAAAAAAAAAAGCCAAATGATTGCCAGATTGACAATTTATCTACATTATTTAACATATTCGTTTTTACATAAATAAAACAAATATAATCCAAAATGGATTAAGTTTACTTCACCAATGTATAGCTGTAGTTTTTTAAAAATTGATTGGTTTTATATGTAACAACATTCTAACTAGAGAGAGAACTTAAGTTCCAAAATGCTTTTTGGTTAATTTTCATAATAATTGTAATTTTTAAATTATAGAGTTTTTATGATAACCATAGTACAATCAATGTTTAAATATTTGATTACTGGTGTATGATAAGCCCTAATTTATGATTTACAACTGTTTTGTTTATATAAAAACGAATATGTTAAATAATATTAACGTAAAGGAAAAATACAGAGTTATTAATAATGGCTTATTTACATTATGTGGGATATAAATTGTGTGAGACAGTGATGAAGGTTATGTTCCAGAATATAATCCTCATCACTGAAAATTTTAACTTATTTAATTAACAAATAGAATAAAAAAAAAAATGGTTACCAGAATATCTATATCACCAGATGTTAGAGCAAAGAGCTCTAATCCTATTATCCTTCCTATGGGAAATTTAGCATAATGAATATAAGCTTCAGTGTAATCTTGTTTCATGTCTAATGTCATTTCTTGTGGAATTGGAATTCCAAATGCAAATATATGTGGCCCTTGAAATAAAATAAATTTATATATTTTAAAATCATACAGAATAATTTATATTAAATTTCTTGAAATATTCTTGAAAAAAATGATACAATTCTAATTATTGAATGGTTCTATTACTAGTTAATTATGAAATAGGAAATTTTGAGATCAATCACTATGATAAATAAATATTTTAAAATTTTATTCTATTTCCTATTAATGAATACAATATAACAACAATAAAATCTTAAGAATAGACTTTTATTTATTAATTAATCAAAATCTCTAAAACTTACAAACTTAAAGACACTAACATAAAAACTTCAGTAAATCATTCTTATGCTTTACTGGAGTTCATTAACTTACATCAAGTATCATCTCAAGCATGGGGTGGTCATAAAGTAGTTCGACCAACTAGTAGTGATCTTGGGAGCAATGTTCCCTCTAAGCTGCGCGGCTGCATGGCCGCACACTGCTCAAATTGTTGCTACACACGAGAATTTATGAGCCGCACAGGCGAGCATGCACACCAATTTGAATTATTGTTTACTTATTTCTCATTCTGTCTGCGACATGATTATTGCTGCGTATATTTTGATTAAATACATTAAATCATTGACAAAAGATAATATTTTGTATAAAAGTATGTTTTAAAATGAATTTTAATTTCTACTTTATAATTAATTATTTAAATTTTTATAGGAAAAAATAAGTTTATATATATATATGCTCAGAAAAATTTTTTGCTCAGAGAAGTATATGTTCCGCTCATCTACAAAAATAATTAGAGGGAACATTGCTTGGGAGTAGGGAAAGCAAGGAATCCATTGAAACTTTTGCAGGACAAGTATAGGGTGATGTGCTTGTGAAACATGAAAATAGGGGTAGAACATGTAACACAGTTATAGTTAATTTAGCCATATATCAAAAATTTCCAATACAGCTACTTGAAATTTACAATGTCATGAGATTCTATATGATGGAAAACAGAGAATACATACATATTTGGTACCTTATTAAAGAAATAAACAATGAATAAATGCTATTTTCAGGAACCAAATAAATTGTTTTTAATCAGAAATGTTTTTGTTCTTTTATAAGAACATCCTCAGCAGAAACTCTTTTAAATTGCAATAGAATGCCTTTACATTCTAACATTAAAATAAACAAATTACAAAAAGTAAATAAATAAATAAATAAATTTAAAACTTAAAATTCTATAAAGTCCTATAACATAAATAATAGTTAAGTAAATTAATTAAATAGTACTTCTAAAAATTGAAATAATAAAAATAATGTCCGACTTCTTTTGACCTTGAACAACTTTCCACTCATTTTATCTCCAATTGCTTTTCTAGTTAAATCTCGATATCACTTTTTTACAAAAGAGTTGTAATTTTGAGAGTTTAAAATGTCAACCCATCTACAATCTAAAATCATGGCATCATTTGCATTAATTACATTACTTTTGCATGAAAAAAAATATATATATAAAACATTATTCTATTAACATATGTTTGTCTGTCCAGCTTTTTATTATAATAGGGTTTTCCAACAAACTTGTACTTCATTATCAAGTGCTCATTTTGTTAACGTAATCCATAAAGCATTGGAATGATGTGTTTCCTTATGGTGTTTTCCATTACACAGAATCTCATGACATTGTAAATTTCCAGTGTTAGTATTGGAAATTTTTGATATATGGTTTTCTACTCCTATTTTTGTGTTTTATGAGTAAATGCCAACCTATACTTATCATGCAAAAGTTTCATTGGATTCCTCACTTACTGTACTTCCAAGATTGTTGATAGTTGGTCAAGTTACTTTATGACCAGTTTGTACTTTCAGGCAGAAGCCAAGTTAATTCACTGTTGTTTCTTCTGGTTGCTCAAAAGTATTTGTAGAGGTGAGACTTGATATAAGTTAGTGAGTTCTAATATGATGTAAAACAGATTTTTAAGTTTAATAATTTGATATTTTATATACATATGTAAATATCTTTTATAAGCTATATTAAAGTTAAACAATTGCTAGAATAAATTGGGCTATATTACCACTACTATTAAATAATATTTAATTATTTAATAGTAGTGGTAATTATTTAATAAATGCATATTGATTTAATTATATTTATTAAATTTAATAAAGAGATGGCATCTAATGTCTACCTCTAGTGCTAAATTATTCAGTATTTAATTATTAAATTAATAGCAGTGGTAATATAGCTCAATTTATCTGACAATTGTTTGGCTTTGATATTTTATGTTCCCATGTTCTTAAAGTTATTTATTAACATGCAAAACAAATGTTGATAAGCTGAAAAAATTGCACAAAGTAAACAATACTTTTATTTAATAAATCAGTCATAAAACTTTTTTACCTGAGATAGCAGGAAAACTTCTATCTTCATAATTATCTGCCTTGAAAATTAAAGATAATGAAGAACCTCTCCATACTTTATATTTACAATCTGCTGTTCCATTTTTAATAATGATTTCTGTGCATTTTAATTCTACATCAATTGTGCATTCATCAATCTGTATCTTTTCTCTCTTGACTGAAAACTAAAAAATAAAGTAAAATAATCAACAATATTGCAAGTTCGTCCTTTGCCTTTGCCATACCACAGCAAAAATGAACTTCCTACTAAAAAGTGCTGACTGTTAGGCATCTTCTCACCTTCCATCATCAACATCTGTCTTCCATCTGAGTGTGCTTCTCTCATCCACTATGTACGTACACTTCCTTTGCCTTTGAAAAGCTATCAGACTAGCAAGGAGGTGTAGATATGTCATAGTCAAATTGCTCATAGAACTAAAAAACAATGACCACCAATGTAACCCACTATTGCTTGCCCATATCAACACTCAAGTCATCGGCTTAGTAGATTCTGTGGAATCATGCTTCCATAAACAGCACCCAAAAAAAGTTTCCAGTTGCTCAGTATGCAGAAATGTACCAAAGAAGCCTGTCATCTTAAAAGTATCATCTGTTGGGATGATATAGTTCCCCTGGACTATATGCAACCAGCCACCAAGTGTGGCCTGTCCTTCACTCCTCCCCCTAAGTTCTTACCAGAATGCATCATCCCAGAAGAAAAATACCTTATTGAAGATATGGATGAATTACATAAGGAATTTTACAGATGAAAAACTATCTCTACTGTCGGATGCCTCCCACCATCAAGAATCTAAGAAATGAATGAATTCTAACTACATCATCACCCTGAAAGCTGACAAATCTAAAGACATTGTCTGTATGTATAGTTCAACATATCACATATCCAGGATTATATTCGTGACACACACTGCTCTGTTGCCCCTGATAACTACTGTGGACTTGTTTTTTTTTTTTTTTTGGTGTGTTCCTGAATTAGGTTGGATTAATACGAGTGTAACAACTAGGACTATAGAATTGTAACGGTGAGAATTTTTTTTTATATGTGAAAAAAAAAAATTGTATCTGGTGATCTGTCATTATAATTGTATCTTGTGAACCGTCGTTATAATTGTATGAAAATATATGTATTTGGTCATATTTCTATAAACTTNTATATGTTCCGCTCATCTACAAAAATAATTAGAGGGAACATTGCTTGGGAGTAGGGAAAGCAAGGAATCCATTGAAACTTTTGCAGGACAAGTATAGGGTGATGTGCTTGTGAAACATGAAAATAGGGGTAGAACATGTAACACAGTTATAGTTAATTTAGCCATATATCAAAAATTTCCAATACAGCTACTTGAAATTTACAATGTCATGAGATTCTATATGATGGAAAACAGAGAATACATACATATTTGGTACCTTATTAAAGAAATAAACAATGAATAAATGCTATTTTCAGGAACCAAATAAATTGTTTTTAATCAGAAATGTTTTTGTTCTTTTATAAGAACATCCTCAGCAGAAACTCTTTTAAATTGCAATAGAATGCCTTTACATTCTAACATTAAAATAAACAAATTACAAAAAGTAAATAAATAAATAAATAAATTTAAAACTTAAAATTCTATAAAGTCCTATAACATAAATAATAGTTAAGTAAATTAATTAAATAGTACTTCTAAAAATTGAAATAATAAAAATAATGTCCGACTTCTTTTGACCTTGAACAACTTTCCACTCATTTTATCTCCAATTGCTTTTCTAGTTAAATCTCGATATCACTTTTTTACAAAAGAGTTGTAATTTTGAGAGTTTAAAATGTCAACCCATCTACAATCTAAAATCATGGCATCATTTGCATTAATTACATTACTTTTGCATGAAAAAAAATATATATATAAAACATTATTCTATTAACATATGTTTGTCTGTCCAGCTTTTTATTATAATAGGGTTTTCCAACAAACTTGTACTTCATTATCAAGTGCTCATTTTGTTAACGTAATCCATAAAGCATTGGAATGATGTGTTTCCTTATGGTGTTTTCCATTACACAGAATCTCATGACATTGTAAATTTCCAGTGTTAGTATTGGAAATTTTTGATATATGGTTTTCTACTCCTATTTTTGTGTTTTATGAGTAAATGCCAACCTATACTTATCATGCAAAAGTTTCATTGGATTCCTCACTTACTGTACTTCCAAGATTGTTGATAGTTGGTCAAGTTACTTTATGACCAGTTTGTACTTTCAGGCAGAAGCCAAGTTAATTCACTGTTGTTTCTTCTGGTTGCTCAAAAGTATTTGTAGAGGTGAGACTTGATATAAGTTAGTGAGTTCTAATATGATGTAAAACAGATTTTTAAGTTTAATAATTTGATATTTTATATACATATGTAAATATCTTTTATAAGCTATATTAAAGTTAAACAATTGCTAGAATAAATTGGGCTATATTACCACTACTATTAAATAATATTTAATTATTTAATAGTAGTGGTAATTATTTAATAAATGCATATTGATTTAATTATATTTATTAAATTTAATAAAGAGATGGCATCTAATGTCTACCTCTAGTGCTAAATTATTCAGTATTTAATTATTAAATTAATAGCAGTGGTAATATAGCTCAATTTATCTGACAATTGTTTGGCTTTGATATTTTATGTTCCCATGTTCTTAAAGTTATTTATTAACATGCAAAACAAATGTTGATAAGCTGAAAAAATTGCACAAAGTAAACAATACTTTTATTTAATAAATCAGTCATAAAACTTTTTTACCTGAGATAGCAGGAAAACTTCTATCTTCATAATTATCTGCCTTGAAAATTAAAGATAATGAAGAACCTCTCCATACTTTATATTTACAATCTGCTGTTCCATTTTTAATAATGATTTCTGTGCATTTTAATTCTACATCAATTGTGCATTCATCAATCTGTATCTTTTCTCTCTTGACTGAAAACTAAAAAATAAAGTAAAATAATCAACAATATTGCAAGTTCGTCCTTTGCCTTTGCCATACCACAGCAAAAATGAACTTCCTACTAAAAAGTGCTGACTGTTAGGCATCTTCTCACCTTCCATCATCAACATCTGTCTTCCATCTGAGTGTGCTTCTCTCATCCACTATGTACGTACACTTCCTTTGCCTTTGAAAAGCTATCAGACTAGCAAGGAGGTGTAGATATGTCATAGTCAAATTGCTCATAGAACTAAAAAACAATGACCACCAATGTAACCCACTATTGCTTGCCCATATCAACACTCAAGTCATCGGCTTAGTAGATTCTGTGGAATCATGCTTCCATAAACAGCACCCAAAAAAAGTTTCCAGTTGCTCAGTATGCAGAAATGTACCAAAGAAGCCTGTCATCTTAAAAGTATCATCTGTTGGGATGATATAGTTCCCCTGGACTATATGCAACCAGCCACCAAGTGTGGCCTGTCCTTCACTCCTCCCCCTAAGTTCTTACCAGAATGCATCATCCCAGAAGAAAAATACCTTATTGAAGATATGGATGAATTACATAAGGAATTTTACAGATGAAAAACTATCTCTACTGTCGGATGCCTCCCACCATCAAGAATCTAAGAAATGAATGAATTCTAACTACATCATCACCCTGAAAGCTGACAAATCTAAAGACATTGTCTGTATGTATAGTTCAACATATCACATATCCAGGATTATATTCGTGACACACACTGCTCTGTTGCCCCTGATAACTACTGTGGACTTTTTTTTTTTTTTTTTTTGGTGTGTTCCTGAATTAGGTTGGATTAATACGAGTGTAACAACTAGGACTATAGAATTGTAACGGTGAGAATTTTTTTTTATATGTGAAAAAAAAAAATTGTATCTGGTGATCTGTCATTATAATTGTATCTTGTGAACCGTCGTTATAATTGTATGAAAATATATGTATTTGGTCATATTTCTATAAACTTATTACAAACTGGTTTCTTTGTCTCTCTTCCCCACATGGTGGACCACCTACACTCACAATTAGTGAGACCAATAAGTCTTACGAGTTTCCACACTATCCAATAAATATATTGGTTTTATACAGAAACCTAAATTTCCATTTAATTTCAATATTATATCTAAATATAATATTGATCTAATAAAGTATATTGGACCAATAGGTTCTACTGGACCTAAATTTCTATGTAAAGATAATATAAATTTTTAATAGGATAAGCAAACATGGAATTGCAAAGCCTCTTTTATATTTACACTAGCTGCAAGGACCCGCTTCGCTGAGCAAAAAGTAACAATAGTGAAGATTAAGATAATTACATTATAGCCAATCTTACCCGTTTTCACAGAATGCAAGAATTAGGTCCCCCGTTTCCAGACTAATTAGAGAACTTTTACATGAGTCTAAAAATATGTTCAATTTCCCACAAAAATGCAAAAAACTGCCTGTAAATCTTGCATGTCGCTTTATATTAACACTTCCTTTGTTACTCAACACTTCCACTGTTACCACTTCTATTGTTACACATCTTCGAAGTCAACCACTTTCAACCCCATATCACCCTTATAGCACAGAATGCAAGAATTAGGTCCCCTGTTTCCAGACTAATTAGAGAATTTTTATGTCCAGTCAAATGAACTATTTTCAATTTGATCAATTTTCTGGAATGTTTACAATCGTTCTATAATCAAACCAATTCGAATTTAAAATGGTTCAAACATTTTTAAAATCGAAATAGAAAATCTTCCACTTTCAAGCCCATATCTCCCACACCCTTATAGCTATCAAGACGCAACCACCATAGTGCACGAATGGAGACTTGGGGCTACTACCACATACAAACACCATTCATGTGCGATGTGTAGTTTTGACTGAAAAGTGAAATATAGGGACACACACATCCATTTATATATATATATATAGATTTATATTAGTTTACATAACAAAGTTTTTATCAAAACTTTTATGATAGTTGGTATTATACAAAATCAAGTATTTCATCAGCTAGTAACAGGGAACAAGAACTAGACCAAAATTGAGTATTTGTGTGTATATGTAGGGTGACCAGACCTCTCGATTCTAGGGTCTGTCCCTGTTTCACTTGTTTTTAATATTTCATTTTAGAATCAATCTTTGAATAGAGCAATTTTATTAAAATGATAATATAATATAATCAATTTATAGATCAATAAATAAATAAATTTAAAAGATTAATTTAAAAAACAAGTTCAATCAGTTTAGACCCCATTTTCACTGATTCTGAAATACAGCATATTTCTGATTGGATTATAAATTTTATGGTCAGCCCTATATGAGACCCTTAAAAGCATAATACCCTTAAGAAAATGCTTATACCTAAAACTATTGGTAAGATGTGAACCCTGAATGAGAGATTTGCCACCCCAGAATTATGGACCTTCCTGTATGAGCAAAAAGTCAATGAAACCATACCTGTAAATGTTACCCTTTGCAAGATATTTGCCTCCAAAGACCAGTTTTTATCATGAACCAATACTAGTGCCTGTTCTCCATGCTCTGCATCAGTCAAGATAAGCGATAGCTCACGATGAAGCATGTAGTCGTGTGCTTTGGTGCAAGCAATAGCAAGCACCTCATCAACAACATGGGGTGGTCCTCATACCCTTAAACTATATACCATCAAGAACTCCACAGTCACACAGGCTACTCAAAGCTGGCATAGTCATGTGGGCTAAATAGTTAAACATAATATTCTTAGTGGAGTGACAACTCCTGGATCACTTGTGTCCTGAAAGTAGGCTGATTTTGGGGGCTGTATCACACAAAGGATCACATTTAGAGATATGGTTCATTTGACTTGATCCTATGGGTATGGTCTACAGCTCTGATAAAGTTCCAACTGTTTCATTGAGAGGTATAATTGTACCAAACTATGCATGTACTTTTAGCTACTGTTTTAAATTTTTATAAATTAGTATTTTGTAAGAATTTTCTTGTATCAATCTATACAATTCTTAAGCAATTATTTATGCTTATATATTTTATAATATTCATAGTTAATATAATATAAAATTTATTTGTCATTCAATTTATTTTATAAAAGTGATAATTTAAATTTAATCTATGAACAACAACAGAGCCATGCCAGTCATCTATGTAACTCCTTTCTGGGGAAAATTTTTGAATTGAAATCATGTGACCTCTGGTCTATACTAGAAGTTCGTATATAATTAATTGGGATTTACCCCTAAGCTTTCTATATCTGATCTTGACTTTCATGTATCTGTGGCAGTATGCCATGTATTTTGTATATAGTTTATATTTTATTTTAATTAGCTCTATTTTTCTTTCTGCGTTCCTTTCTTTCCCTCCCCTTTTTTTCTCCTTTCTTCATTCTATGGTCTACCCTCTTCACAGAGTCTCTCCCCAAAATTCCTTTACTTATTGGCTATCGAAAACATCCTAAAACAAGGGGAGGTGAGGTAAGAGGAGAAGTAAGAGGGACGAGAAGGAGGAGCAGTTCGAGGGAGGAATGAAGTGAGAAGGAACGGGAGAAAGTTTTTGGGAGTGTACGTGAGACGAAGGGGAGAGTCTGAGAGACGGACAAAGGAATATCCATAATAGACCCACGGAAATTAAGGATAAACTTTCGCATCGTGACTGCCAACAGTTGTGTGACTCGAAGGAAAGAAGAGAGATCCTTCCAACTTTATGCAAGAACCTCACTAAGGACATTGCAAAGAGAAATGATCTTCAAAGGCCTTACATACTAGCATTGGGTACACCTTTTCTGAGTTAACTTTCCTTTGCCTATCCCCTATCTTCTTACTTTAGTTAATATTAGTTTAGGTCTTATTTGTTATTAGTGTTTAAGATAGATTTAGATTTTTGCACGATGATTTTCAATAATGGTTTTTTATGTCGCGTCCTATGGTTCAGGATTTTGTTTGTGATTCTGATTGTTTCTAACTGTTGGGACATAAAGTTAGCACTGGCATCCTAAAGAAGCCTGTAGTTAAGTTTCCAACCTTAATTAAAGTTGTCCTTTTTGGCGTACTTTGATTCCACGTGTCTTCCTTAATTAAAGAAGAAAACCACATACTTTCACATATCTAACTCTATTTTCAATATTAAGAAAGGATGGATAGATGAACAGATGGAGGGAAGGACAATGGGAATTTATAGGTCTACAATTTTTTCAAATTGAAACCCAATAAAAATATCACAAACTTAACAATAATTAACACTGTACAAACCTGATCATTTCCAACTTCACTTCTAGCAAATGCTTCAACAAAATAGGTTCCAGGAATTTTATAAAATTTACTAAAGAATAACCTTGATGAATTAGAGATTATTATTGGTGTTCCATCTCCAAAAGACAATATTAATTCAAATGAACTGTTTGATTTGACAGTTACTTCAATATCCACTGGCATTCCTAAAATATTAAAAACAAAATTATTATTATTAGTACAGTAGTCTAAACTATAATAAATATTTAAAGGCTGGTTTATAATCCAATGACAGTATAGAGTTTCAATAGCTGTTGCATGGAGTTGAGAAGAACATCATCCAGTCTATAGTCAAACTTTGGCCAGTGACTAACTCAGCAAAGCATGGCATTGGCATCAAACATTAAAGATAAACATTGTTCAACTTTGGAGTTGTGTTGTTAGACCAGAAGTGTGCATCTATATATAATTCAAAATTTAGAGGAGTGGAGGGCAGCAAACTCCATAAACTCTACTGTTACAGCACCAAACTGTCATTGGATTGAAAACTGGCACTAACTGTACTATTGTCTAACTCAAAGCCCAAGACATGAAAGGTGGAGGAAGATTGTGTTGGTATTAACCTAAAAATATACAAAATAAAAAAAAATGCATTGTTATAGAAGGAAAAACTTTTGTTTAAGATTTAGATTCTATTGTAGGATTGGTAGTCTTATCCAGAATGATTAATTAACCTTATTTAGAAAAGCTGAATATCAAAGACAGGTATAAAAATTGCTGAAAATTGGAAGATGATGTTGATAAATCTTTATCAAATTCATAACAATTATTATAATTATCCAATTGATTTTCTAATGACAATTATTTATATGTCATTTAATAATAAGCTTAACACATTTGTTAAGGAAGTTTCTCATAGATCCAATTCAAAATGGCTGCTGAGTCTAGAACTATAATTTTTTTCTAACAGAAGCCATGTAATTTTCATAAGAAAGATCAACTGCTATTTTTTTGTGAGAAATTAATTAACAAATCATTCAGTCCACTTAGTCTGCGGGTGTGGATAGCATCTAGCTTGATTTATCTCATCTTTAGATTGTTCATCTTTATCTGGCCGTAAACCTGTTAAGTTTACTTATAAACATTATTGTGAATATAAGTACATCTATGGGCGAGAAATAAAGAATAACATCCTGAATCAAACTATTCACGAAAATATTACAAGAATCCGAATCGGATTCGAACTTGCGTGGAATCAGTCATAACGAATTCGACTCTGAATTTTTATCTTATTATTAATAAATAAAATCTAATTATTAATTTAATATTACAAGTCCTAATGCAACTGCGGCACGACAGTCGTTACCTTCTTTAGCAAATGTGATCCATAAGCCACTAACCTTTCCTTGTACTAAGTATGGTTCTTGGAGCAGGATGATGTCAATCTCCCGCCCGGCCACTTCTACCCTGAGTTGGGGGGCAGTTGCGGCACGGCACTTTTCAGAGTTAAACTGCAGTATTCTGCAGCCACGTCTTTCGTCCCTCTGCGTGTGTAAGAAGAAACGAACACAAGGTAAGTTCCCTTTAACTTACTGACCGTAGTCAGTCCTTGCCCGAACTCTTTCGAGTTCCCGCGCATAGCACGGGTAGCTAGCAATCATGGTGGAGTGGCCGGTAGCCAGCTGCAAGCCGAACTTTTATTTGCCCTTGTGCAGTTAATGCATTTGGGCTCCGCCGCCTTGCACTCCTTATATGAGTGGTCATTGGCACATTTACTACATGTTTCGCCGCCGTACAGATCTTTGCTACGTGACTGAATCCGTAGCACTTGTAGCACCGGGTGACAGCTAGCTGTTTTCTCACCATGTGAGTTGCGAGTCCACTTCACATGGCATTTCCCCTTCTGCAAGAGAGCGTGGTAGACCATAGGGGGAGGTCTCTAGAACCCAATTGACGAGGCCCCCCTTTCCTTTTAATGGAAAAAACGAGGCTGCACTCGATGTTATTTTGAACGCAGATGGTCTCCACAAGACTTTCGCATTTGATGTCTGGGCTGACATCGACAAGAATGATCCACGGCCGGTGCCACTGGGGCAGTCGGCAGTTGACTGCCTCTCTTAACGTCGGTGGACCTTCCATCAACTTCTTTTCAAGTTTCTTGACATCTTGACCTTTCGAGACCTCTATCAAGATGCCATTGTTGCGAATGCAACGAGCATTCTTAATCCAACCCCCAGGCCTGATGGCCAAGCGGTCAAGGTGGCAGCCTACCAGTTTGGGGGACCCGGGATCGAATCCGGATGGGTCAAGGAATCCCCAGAAATTTTTTGGGGGATGGTCCGTTCGGATATGTCGGGTCCCGTCCCTCACTACCCGGTCGCCCCATTGTGGGCCTGGCCGAACCCATAATGGGCCTGCTATTAGAGGCCCTCTTAGTACCCATAGGGCGGAAAGAGTAAAAACAAAAATCCAGACCCCAACTTGGCCGGGTTAATGTTCGTTTTTAGCAATGCACGGGTCTGGTCACTACTCATCTTATCATCCTTTGGGTACCGGTACATCAGGAGCGTATGCTCTGTGGACTGCACCCGTTTAGGCGGTTTGGCGGTTGCCCGCGGCCCTTCTTGGATATGCCGGACTAACCTGGCGGTAACCGTCGTGTAGGATACGCGATTCGCTGCAGTCGCCTTACTTCTCTCTGCTTGAGGTTTGGGTGGTTGTTGACCGCTTAGTACCTCTTGCAATGTTTTGTTTTCGACCCGGAGGGAGGCTGTCTCGACCTCCTGGGCGTTAAGGATCGCGGCAACCTTACTGAAGAGGTTGTAGATCACCGCGCAGGTAGCATTCTGACACCGACTGTCAGTCTTGGCGAGGAGCTTTGTCAGCTCATCAAGTGCGCCCCGCGGATCCTCGACCGACTCAAGCTTTTCCTGTGTTCCCATAGGCGCCAACAACGGTGTTTTAGCGGCTGCCGGACTTTTCTTCCCAGTTGCCGCTGTGTTAGGGTCTTTCTTCTTCATTCCACCGTTATTTTTGGCAGGAGGTTTCCTCCGTCACGGCCATTGCAGCCTTGGTGGGTTCTCCCTAGGACCTAGGCATATCGCCTTCATGTTTCGCCACTTTGGCTTTAGCCCCTTCTTGCCGCTTTTTCCGCCGCCTTTCACGGCTGGTGGCTGAAGTGGCCTTTCAGTCACCGTCCTCACTAGAGGAGGTGGTGTTAAAGACATCCTCTCGTTCAGGACCAGAGTCCCCTCTCTTTGTGTTGTTGGTGGCCTTTGAGTCTTCGGCAACTTTTTGCGCATTGGTCATATTGCGCATTTAGGCACACAATACATTATCTAAGCATTCGCTTTTGCTCATGTTTATCACCATTAAATATAAAGAGAGAAAAATTGGGTTGAGTTGATCTTAACCTTTCATAATTGCCCAGAATCCGTTCGGGAATCAGAGTATCCATTTAAGAGCCTTCCCACAAGTGGTTTGGCCCACTGACGGGACAGCTACCCATTTAAATGACCGCCTACCCAACTATACGGCCATCCAACGCATCGTCAGGCCTTTAAGCACCGCTCCACCCTCAAGACATGGGAAGTTGGCCCTATGCCGTAGAGCGGCTCTGCCAATTGTCTGTCAGGATAGATATTCTCTTGCAGGATCTTGTAGTCAACTACAGGCGCTATCATCTTGGCCAGCAGCAAGGTTTCGGTAAGAGGAGTACGACTCCTCGCCGCATTGACTTCGGTATGCAGTCCCCAGGTTAGCATTGGGTATGCGAAGCCCAGTCTTCCTACTGGGAAACTGATTCTCTTTTACCAGACAGAATGAGCTTTACGTGGTCTGTGTTACCACGGGCTAAGGCGGGATCAATTGCATTCGGCCGCCTTTTGCATTCGAAACATCGGCCCCATGCCACTGGGGTGGATTCGGGAGTTCGCTTTGTGTGTGTCTCAGATTCCAGAGGGTCAGGATTGTCAAATCTATGGCCTCTATTCCCTGTACCGACGTGGGAATTGAATCCAGAAGTTTCGGCGTCCTCTGTGGCTAGTCAGGGACTTCACTCCCCAGCCCTAGGGTTTTTTATATACTTTTTCCGCCCTGTGGACACTAAGAGGGCCTCTTATAGCAGACCCATTAAGGGTTCGGCCAGGCCACAATGGGGCGACCGGGTGGTGAGGGACGGGGCCCGATATATCCGAATGGACCACCCCCGAAAAATACCTGGGGATTCCTTGACCCGTCCGGATTCGATCCCGGGTCCCCCAGAGTGGTAGGCTGCCACCTTGACTTCTCGGCCATCCTGCCTCCCCTAGCCCAAGATACAGTATCCATCTCGCTACAAGCAGATGCTTTAATCATCGCGAGTAGGGGATCTCGGGACCGTTCCTCCGAAGCAGAGGGCTCCTACCACGTTTCAGCAGTACCTCTGTCGAGTGCCACCAAACTGCAGGCCGACTAGTGCCTACACTTCCGTTGGCAGGACTACCAACTTGCGTCGGACAAGTCCAATCGACTACACTCCACTTATCTCATCCGAAGACGAGACCTTCCTGGGAATCCTGTTAGTAACGGCTACAGCGATTATCTTCCGGCCCCGGGCTTACTGACGAACCGTCTTGGCCCTCTTATTGCCGAAACCGAAGAGAGTAACCGCCGTGCCTCGACCGCGCCGGTCTACCTTCTGTTTTGATGTGAGTCTGCATGCCACTATGCCAAATTGCAGCTATGATTGAAGTCAGTCCGAACAGGGATAGGTTCCAGTTTAGGGAGATGTTAGCAACCCTGACGGAGACCGCGGATAGGACACAGCACACGGACAGCAAACTTCATTAAGGCCTGGTAGACAGACCCAAGGCTCATGATACTCTGACATCTCTGGAACCTTAGGCCCGAGTCTAAAGACTCCGTCAACGGCCGAGACCTTCGGATCCTCTATACCTGCCGCCTCTCGCCGCTAGGCCCCCGCCACGTCAAGGCCGGTTCCCTACCTTGGGGGGTGGTCCGTCAGGATCTGTCGGGTCCCGTCTCTCACCAACCGGCCGCTGCATTGTGGGCTTGCTAAAAGAGGCCCTCTTAGTGCCCACAGAGCGGAAAAAGTTAAGTTAATTTATTCAACACAGTCTTTGTTATTTAAACAAAAACAATTAAACTGTTAAATAAATTATAATAGAATAAAATTTATATATATATACTCTAAATTTGTGTTTCGGCCAGCGCCGTAACTAGCCTTTTATGCGCCCAGTGCGAGCTTCTGTAACTACGCCCCAAAACTATGACCCAAACTTTGTCCAGGTCATTTCTGCGCCCCTCAGGTCTGCACCCTGTGCCTGGGCACCGCTGGCACCGCCCTAGTTACGGCACTGGTTTTGGCGCAAGAATTTTATCATGTTTATATAAACTTTTATTAAATTAATTACCTGCGTATTCATTGTAATGGTTACAGTAAATATCGCGCGTAAATATATTTATTATTTGTTAACATTATTTAAATAAATTTTTACAACCAAAATGTATTGAAGTATGAGATAATTTTAGAAAACTTTATTATAAATTTAATCTCAAAAATGTTTTACTATCGAACACACTTAATTTAATTTTTAAACATATTTATAAAAGTAAATTTGATGTTTTTAAATGAAAATTGATATTCATATTGAAAAATCAATCAAAATTTAGATCTATATTAGTAATGTTTACTGTGAATTTTATTATATTATAAATAGAACACTTATTCATATAAACACAAACGTTACCTGTGCAATTATATTGAATATTGAGAAAAACATCAACAATCGGCGGAATTTCTTTAGCCAATATTGCAGTATAAAATACGGAATTCGAAGAGCCGCATTCTTCATTTCCTGTGCATCTTGCATCACATAATGCATTTTCAACAATTTCATCTGCAAAGATACAGTAGAGCGTCGTTTATCCGAATCAATTGGGGACTGGGGTTGTTCGGATAACTTATTTTTCGGATAACCGATTATGTACGAAAAAATACTGTATATTAACCTATCCCATCCTGAAATTTTTCTCCGTTGCGTGTCGCTTTGCGTTGAATTTTCGTCGATATTAAGCCTAACGTAAACTTTTTAAAATAATAATCGTGGCTATTGTATCGTTAAAAATTATTTCTTTATTTTTTACAAACAAAATAAATATATTGAAAAATATAAAAACAATAAAAAATTATACTTCAGAAGTTAATTTAGTATCAAAAACGTAAAATATTTGAGTAGCCCAAGACATAGCCAAAGATTGCAGCGCCACAGCACTAGCGAAAATTTAAATTTACCAACTGGAATTATTTCGGATAAACGACGCTCTACTGTAGTTTTAATTTTAACGAATAATAACACAAATACGCGAATAAAAATAATTTTAAAAAATATTACCTGGCAATTCATCATCACAAAAGCAATATTTTCCAGCCGTAAGTGCTGCATAATTATAATTTTCACATAATGATTTACATTGTGATTGATTTATCGAATCGGCAGAATATCCTCCAGGCGATATTCTAAATTCATAAGCTTCTGTATCTATTTCTATACATTTCGGATCATTATCTGAAATACAGTAAATGAGATTTAAAATTATTAATGATTTTGACAAATATTTCAAATTATTACTTACGTCTAAAAATTTATATGAATTATTTAACTTACTTTCTTGTGACTTTACCATAACCTAGAATACATATAAATAAAATTATTTTACATAAAATATATAAACAAGTAGCTAGAAATTATATATAACTTACAGAATTCGGGAAGAAGAAGAATAGAATAAATTTTAACCATTTTGCGGGCATATTCTATTCAGTAGTAAAATTTAACAACAAAGCGTTAAAGTATACAGTTCTCTAGTAACTTCATTTAGATTTATAAAATCAGCGCATTCAATTTAGTGTTTTTATTATTTATAGTAATAATTAGGTAATGGAATTGTTTTATATATGAATTCTCTATAATTCCCAAGAGAAATATTAGTTTTATGCACGATATTTATATGTTGCCAAGAAACCCAGATAGTTTACATGTAAATAACTAAAGATAGGCCTAAATAAAATATGAAATTGATTTCTTTAATCAATTTTTACTTTATTTTATATTGTTAAGATCATTATGGAAATAACATTAATTTTATTATGAGCATTTTTCTAGTACACAGCCGGATGCCCAAGCAGTCAAGGTAGCAACCTATCGCTCTGGGGGACTCAGTTGAATCCGGACGGGTCGAGTAAATCCCCAGGATTTTTTCAGGGGGTGGTCCGTCCGGATATGTCGGGTCACGTCTCTCACCACCCAGCTGCCCCATTGTGGGCCTGGCCGAACCCATAATGGGTTCGCTAAAAGAGATTCTCTTAGTGCCCACAGGCTGGAAAGAGTTTAAAAAAAGTACTTTGAACCAAAAGTAACTGCTGCAGAATATTTATAACGGCGACTGAGTTGAGTTTTATGTTTTTTTTTTTTTTTTTTTATTTTGTTAAATAAATAATGCATAATTGCAACAACTTTTGTCAACGACTAATTTCGGAGAGAATCAATTTCCTTGCTTCTAATTAACTAATGGAAGCAAACAAAATTTAAAAATTTGTTTAATTCACGCTGAAATAATTTGTTTTAAATTCTTAATGAAGTCGCCTTTGAAATTTTTATAATAGACTATAACTAGCAGATGAGCCAGGCGTTGCTCAGATAAAAAATAAATAACAATAAACATTATGATTATTAGATTCTTTCGTACTTCTAACTCTTATATTTTATTATATTATANCATTTAAACAGAAGTTAAAATATATTTTGTTTCAAATGAAATAATTTTCTATATTCTGACAATTTCCCAAACTTGCATTTCTGTCAAATAAGAGTTTTTTTTATTTTATTAAACCCTGCATTAGTCCATATAGTTAAACTTTAAATAATGTAATATCTAATTTTTTTAAAATGATTATGATGTTTCTTTTTATGGGAAAAAATTAATTTTCAACTTAAATAAATAACTAGGATGTTCATGTATTGAAAAATGGGAGAGAAGTATTGTATTTATACTGTTTGATCATAATATGAAATAAAATTTTGGAATTTTGATGAACTTTCACACAAAAATTAAAAAATTATTAGTATGACAAAATTGTAAACTAATATTTTACAATAATAATCTAAATATTATATATAAAGTTTAAATTATAGCAGAATTTTTAAATGCTAAATTCAAATAAATGATTGATTTTTATAATGAAGTTTTATTTTTATTTCAGACTATATTCATAAATGAGGAATTAGTTAGTAGAGGAGTTGCACAGTGGATAGAACATAGTTAAGTTGAGTTGATCTCAGTTCTCCCTCCCTAATGTCACGTGCTACGGATATTCTTCCATCAAATTATTGCCATGCCTTTATATACATAGGTAATCAAGTGATTGGTTTTTTTCTTTGTGTTAAAAAACATTAAAGTTTGAAAATGCATCATACATGTATTTTGTGTACACAGAAAACAAGAGAAAAAGTTTTTCAAAAAACTACTACTAAAAATAACAATTATAAAAGCATTCTTATATAATTTTTTTCCTTTGTATAAAAATTTTATTCGATGAAATTTCTACGGTAAAAATCATTGTTTGAATCACATTAAATTTTTAAGAAAATTGTTCTGAAATTTTGTTTGGTCTAATTGTTCATCAATGCCAATTACTACAGTTTTGGAAATGAAGTTGAGTATTTCTTTCGAATATCTGATCCATGTTAAATGAGGTGTCTGTTTTTAAAAGCCTGTGTCAAATTAAAAATATATATTTCCTTCATACAGTCGTCTGTGTATGAAATTGTTTCAATGTATAAAAAAAAACCAGTATATTATTATGGTGTCATCTCTCAAATATTGCTGTCTGATGTTTTGTCAAACTATCAAATTTATATTTTCATATTCCTCAAAGAAAATTTATATACAGTTATACATATATATATATTATATTTAAAAAAAAAGCAAAAGGAAATGATTCTAAGAAAATTAATGTACATTCATAGAGATTTTGTTTAAGAAAAATTTTATTAAAAGAAAATTTGGATATATAATATATTGAGTGAAAAATTAGCAGTTTTATTCTATTCATAATAGTTTATATTAAGTGTATAAATATACTGTATATTTCCTGTTATTTATTAAAAATTTAAATAGCATCTTTATGAAGAGTTTGACAGAAAGTAGTGCAAAGATGTATAGAGATTTCTTTTATATTCACTCAGGCATTTTAGGTACAAATTACTAATTGAATAAACCAAATTTTGTTGTTTTGAATCTAAGCCAGGAGTGTGTTCATTAGATATAATTTATAACACTTTGCCATTTGTGTGAATTGTTTTTTGCTCAATAATTGTAAGTGTATCGATTTAAAAATGTCAATATAGTTTAAGATTTGTTGAAAGAACAATTTTATCTCTTGTTAAATTTGATGTAAGCATGCAATTGTAAGAACAGTTTTATGTAAAATTTTGCCATGTACTTTTCTTCACAAGATGATAACTTGTTTTTAATGTCATCATAATATGTATGGGGAATATCAGCATTTCATTTTTTTCCCTTTCTAGTTAGCAATCAAAAGATGTTATTTTAATTGTTGTTTTTTTTCTTTTTGTAGTTTAAAATTATATTTGTTCATCAGCAAGAATAGTTTGACTTTATATGAAAATGTAAAAAAAAGGTCCATTTTCTCAGAAATTTTAGAAGCTAGATACATAACATTTTACACAAGTATGAGAGGCAATGTGTCAGTTAGTGACACTATAGCAATATATTTATTGCACAAAGGAAACCAGGTTATACTAAAACGTTAGATATTTTAAGAAGTTTAATTCTTTGACAGTTTACTAATGTCAAAATAGTCGTGTTTATAGAAAAGTGAGAAGAAAATACTTATTGGGCCTTTTTGTAATTTAAAACATATTGGCTAAATTAGTCAATGTGTTTGAACACTGTTGCAGCTTTAGGATGTAAATCATTTGTAGTCCATTTATCAACAAATAAAGTTTAGTTCTTATGTTAAAACTTGTTTTGTTTAGAAAAATTTTTTTAATTTATTTTAAATGCACATTTTAGCACATTATTCTAAATCACAAATGTTTTTGAGCTTAAAGCTCAGAATGAGCAGCATCATCTCTCTGAATATCACTATCGGCCAACCATTCTTGGTAGACTTGTTCGGGATCTATCATCCAGTGTTTGTGAAAACTTATTGGTGGATGATGATGATATTCTGGTGCATAATCCATTGGCCTAGCCTAAAGGTAAGAAGTATAAAAATTTAAATTTTAAAGATTATACAATTTATGAAAAAGATTATACAAAGTTATGATTTTATCAATATAATATACCTGATGAAATAATTTTGAGTGTGTTATTGGAATCCCAAACTTTTTCAAACAAATTCCTAAAATCATATCATCCGGAGAATCCTTGGAAGGACATTGACAAGTTCCAAGTTGTTTAACAGTTTCAACACTGAATACCATCCTGAAATTCAAAGATTTATCTTCAAGTAAATTCTAATTTAAAATAGATTTAGTATTAATTTATAAAATATTTATCTATATATTATATTTTTAACAAATAAGAACAATTAAAAAATGTACTCATATATTAGTCTATTTCTATTGAAATACATAATCCTTCATATTTAAAACATTGATTTATTGATAGACATTTTATATTTAGTAAATGATATTTTTTCAAATGTTTTGCTATTGTTTAGTTCACAAATAAGTAATCTCTTTACATATGTTTATTTTTACTATACAAAATATAAATCAAATCATGCAAGCATGTATATAAATTTTTAATTTTGTTACATGTATTTTTTTTTATCTGGAAATTACACAAGTCTGTCCAGGCATAGAATCTGTGATCTTTGAACATAATTGAATATAATCCCTTTAATAATTGTGATTAAAATTGCTTTTTTCTTCGTGTTTAACTATCAGATTGTTGATTTTTCAAAAAAGAAATTGCTTCCCAAATCCAATAAGTACTAATTTCTTTTGAAGAGAGTTTGTTGTATATCATACATAATATACAGTCGGTGACTGTGTAATTACCATGCATTGTCATACTTAATGTCTACAATGTTCATCACAAAAAGAATAAATTATTTTATTATATAGAAAGAACAAGAATAAAGCATTTTTGATATTTGAGTAATTTAAGTCCTTGAATATCTTTCTCTACTTGATATATTCTTTCATTGTGTGAAATTTCAATGTTCTGAAGTTTCATATTCTTGCTTACCGCAATACAGTGAAATTTCATTAACTTGGCATCCTGGTAAACCCAATAAGCTGGCATGTCCAGTTTGTCTTTAGGAGGGAGTTATTGATGCACTGGGTATTTGTATTTACATGCAGCTAGATAATTTTAAATTGAAAATAAAATCAAAATTAATTAGTCAGTTTATTAAAAGTAATTAAGTCAGTTGAAACAATATTTTGGAAAGTGTGGATAAAGTACTTGTTGTCCATCTTGATTGATTTAGTTATATCAATATTTCATCCAGGGAGTCAGAGCTGAGTTTGTTTCGATTGGCAGTGGCTGAACATTTTGCTTTTATATACCTTATGGATAAAAGTGTACAAAAGAGTTATTATATATATCTATTCTATATATTTTTCTTTTGGTGCCCTATCTGGCTAATGCATTGTTATTGCTGGCTCTTATGAACAGTTCTGAAGATTTTTCACACCAAAACAGGTTTTTCAGCCGTGAGATTCAGTGTCGTCCTGGCTCTTTTTTTTTCTTCAGAGATTTTTCATTGTATAACGAGTTGAGAAATGGTATCAAGTACCAAATCCTACATCATGTGGCAAAGTATTCTGACTTTGTTTGATGGTGTTGAGCAGTTCTTGTTGTTTATCCATTTGTCACAATATTTCCACATTGGTCACATGTTCTACCCAGGATACTCTTGGAAGCTTTCAGTAAATCCACATTTCAAAGGCTTTGATCTTTTTTTCAGATATTTTGGTTACAATTCAAGATTCAACTCCGTACAATAGCACCAGGAACACACAGCATCTGATCATTCTAGTTTTTGTACCAAGGGTTAGGTCTCTAGAACATAAAAAAAAAGCAAGAACTGTTTTTACGAAAATTGCTATTTTGTGCTCTGATCTCTATATCATGATCCCAGTTATCATTTAAGATACTTCCCAAGTAATTAAATATTTCTACTTTCAATTTCTTTTGATCTAGCCATCAACTTGCCCCAAATTGATGTTTGACTTATGGTTTAGATCTCAACATCAAATATATGATCATATTTTTTCACTTGAGATTCTGACTTGATCTAGCAACATCTGAGGATCTTTAAAATTTGTGGAGAGCAGTGCTGCGTCATTGGCATAACAAATGTTGTTCAGATATTCTCCATTGATCTTTGATGCCAATGTAAAGATCAGACAGTGCTTCTGAAAAAATATTTTCAGGCCTATATGTTGGAGAGTGGGAGATAATATACAGCTTTGTACACCTCTGTAGATCTGAATTTGATCTCTCAGTTGACTTTCCACCTGATCTATTTGATTTGATTCAGTAAAGGTTTCTGATGTCTGTCATCAATGCCAATTCCATGTAGTGCCTAGTCATCTTTTCATGTTGGCATCTGTTGAAAGCATTTGTATAATCAAAAAACATATGTATGTCACATCTTATATCTCTGCATCTTTGTATGAGAACATGCATTGTAAATAGGGCCTCTCTAGTGCTCATGGAGAAGCCAAATTGTATTTCTCCAGTGTTTTCTTTATATTTTTTGTAAATTCTGTTATGAATGATTTTTAAGAAAACCTTGAGCATGTGATTCATGAGGTTGTTCATTCTGTATTCATCATATGACTTGGTGTTGGCTTTTTTGGTATGGTGACAAAAAGTTGATCACAGCCAGTCAATTGGGAGATGCCCGTGTCATAGATGGCATTGAAGAGTTCTGTTAGTTCATTAATGTTCACTTCTGATATGAGTTCCAACATCTCTAAAGGGATGTCATCTGGACCATTGTCTTTCCTGTTTTTTGATGGTCTTAAGGCTCTTATAACCTCACTCTCCAGTATTGGTGGTCTGGTGCTACTGTTTGATAGGTCATTCATTCTCTATTGTCACTGAATAATTTTTCTATATTTTCTTTCCTTATGTTAAGCTTGTCTTTCATATTTACTGCTAGGTTCCCATCCTTGTCTTTTAGCAATGCACATATCTTTAGAGAAACTGCAGGCAGATCTTCTTGTGCATATTAGAGAGATCATGTTTTTTCTGGTATTCTTGTATCTCTGTGCACAATTCAGTCATTTGAGTTTCCTTTGTGGTTTCTATTTCTTGTTGGGTCATATTTGGTTTTGTCTCAATTTTTGAAAGTTCTTATCATTCATCCATTCTTTCTTCTTGTTCTTTCATTCCCTTCTGCATAAATGCATATTGCTAAATTTCTGGATTATCTTTTATTCCATTCATCTGCTGTTTTCTAATTCCTCTTGTACTGTCTGTCTTATTGTTATTTGTACTTCATCTTTGACCATCCTCAGTTTTATGAGATTTGGGATAGAATTATGCAGATTGTGAACCAATGGGTTGTGGTCTCGGGTACATTTGCACCAAGATCGGTCTTGGTTGCAGTGATCTGTTAAAAATCTTTTATTTATCAAAATAACATTAGAAGTCACGTAGACTATCTGGTCTCAAGGTGTAAAGCCTTCTGGGAAGCAGTTTGAACCAAGTGTTGGTGATCACCATCTCTTCCTCTCTGCAAAACAACATTTTTTCCTCCAAGACAATGCAGTCCAACAATGTCTTCCTCCTTGCCCTGTCCAACTTTGGCATTGAGATCACAATAATAATGGGAGATTTCATTTTTCTTTGTGTGTTTTAGCTGCCTTGATCTGTTCTTAGAATTCTCCAATCTCTTCCTCTCCTTTCTCTGCAGTTGGGGCATAAACCTATATGACATTCATCCTTAATGGATTACCTTCCAATTTGACCTTAATGATGCTATCCAACAATTATGTTATGCTGTGTACCGATCTGACTATTGCTTTATTTAATATCACACCAACTCAATGGGATATTCCTCATTGCCAGAGTAATGTACTATGTATTCAGAAATACAGTATTCTCCTCTTCCTGGCAATCTTGTCTCACTTATTCCCATTATATTAATATATGAAATGAAGACAAAATTCATAACATAATATTTAAACACTTTTGTAGATACTTCTGACATTCTGCATACAGATATTTGTGTTTAACTCAGGGATTCTTTGCACTTCTGTTCACTAAAAGGCTGGCAAGGACTGTGAGGGCCAATTTTAATAGGTGTTCAACCATGAAATATTTTCCTGGTAAGTTAATGCACTGGTTTTCCCTTGCCTTCCATGTATTTATTATCATTATTAGTGTTCTTGTTTCAAACCAACCAAAAGTAAGAATAGTCTAGAAAAATTGAAATGGCATGTTAAACAATCATAAAAGGTGGATTTGTATAGTTTTACACACAAAGATATATAAAATTGTGTCCAGGAAATTGAAAAAACTGAAATTCCATCATCCAATAACCCAGAACATTGGTCCTGGCAATGGAATGTCACAGTAGATTCTGAGAGAATTTGTAATACAATTAGTCTATTGTTATACATCAAAATATAATTTGACTACATCTCTGTGTAAAATGATTTATTTGTTTATGGACAAAAGTTGAAGAATTAAACAACTTTTATGTGTGAGAATTAACACTACAATATAATTGGTCTTTATTGAAAAGAACAAGCACTNAGGGTTGTTCAAAAAGTTCCCAAACTTTATTTATTACAAAAAAAAAAAATACTTCACTTACAATTTATTTGTCATGGTCCCCTTCAAAGTAGTCTCTTCCTCAATGTATACACTTATCCCAATAGTGTTTCCACTTTTTGAAACAGTCCTGAATGCTTATAAGCTCCTCCATTGTTTTTTTCTATCTCTGGAATGATGGCAAATCTTTTTCCTTTGAGCATGTTTTTTAGTGTGCGGAACAGGAAGAAAGTCACATGGGGCCAGGTCAGGTGAGTAGGGTGAGTGAGGAAGCACAGCAGTTTTTTATTTTTGGCCAAAAACTCACAAGTTCTGAGAGACAAATGAGCCAGCACATTGTCGTAGTGAAATAAACCACTTGCCACTCATCCAAAGTTTGGGCCATTTTCGTCTGATTCTGTTTCTTAGGCGTTTTATAACTCCCAGGTAGTACTTTGTATTGACTCTCTGGCCTATAGGTAGGTATTTGTGATGCACAACCCTTTTTATATTAAAAAAAAAAAAAACAGTCAACATCACCTTAACGTTTTTCAACGCATTAAAAGTGTGCTGGAATAGAGAAAGGTGTTTGTTTATTTTTATTATTTATTTTTTTTAACATCACCTTAACATTTGAGTGAACTTGTCGAGCTTTTTTTGGCTGGGGGGATGTTTCACCCACCCATTGTAAAGATTGCACTTTTGTTTCAATGTCATATTCATAAACTCATGACTCATCACCTGTTATGATCATGGACAAGAAGGTTTCATCCTCTTTAGCTTGATCAAACAGTTCCTGACAGACTTGAACTTGATGTTGTTTCTGGTCTGCTGTCATCAGGCGAGGCATGAATTTGGTGGGGAACTCTATGCATCCTCAGTTTTTCATGCAGGATTTCATAGCCTGAACTAATTGAGATGCCACACTCTTCTGCAAGTTCCCTGACAGTCAAATGTCGATTTGCACGAATGAGATCGTTCACTTTCTTGATGTGGGGTCATCAGTTGACGTTGATGGTCATCTGGAATGCTCATTGTCTTCCACTGATTGCCGTCCCTTTTTGAACCAGGTAAACCACTCATAATATGCAGTACATTTTATAGCATCCTCACCATAAGCCTTGGTAATCAAATCAACAGTTTTCATAAAGGATTTCCAGAGTTTCATACAGAATTTCACAGAACAATGCTGCTCCTTCAAAAAGCTCATTTCAGCAGATCCAATTTTTCACCCAACCCCACGAACAACACTTCACATAAAAGGCCTTAACTAATCACCAAAACAAGATAGCAACAAATGGGTTGAAACGTGTTACTCAGAAGGTTTCCGTGGACACAACGCCTCCAAGCAGATTAAAAAATAAGCGTGTTATTCAAAAAGTTCCTGAACTTTTTGAACAACCCACGTATACCCATTAATGTATTTCGATTTCTTTTTAAAATAAATTAAAATTATTTTTAAATAAGTTAACTTGACATCTCTAAAATAGTTTGTTTGGACTTGGTTCACTTTAGAATTGAATCCTCCATATGTATGAAGCAAATAGTCATGTTTTACACAGTTTCACTTGCTTGAATGCGAGCATAATATGAATGTAGGAAAGTGCTGAACAAAGCTCGCCAAAATAACTAAATGAAACTTTACACATAAATGAGTTTTGGCAAAAATAGTGACAAGGATAGACCAAACAATTTTCTTCTGCAACAAGACATTTGTGATATGTGTCACTTATTCAATAAAATTCCTCTTATGGTCTGAATGCTATACTATATATGTATTTAGTAATTACTACTATATTATAATCTGATAAGGTTTTGGTTTATTTTACTTTATTAATTTTAATAATTTGTTTTTTGAATTTTATTTTATTTTACTTATTCTGCAAAATTGTGACTTTGGTATTGGTGCAACGATGCAAAATTGTATTTCTTAAAGCTAGAAACTAATTAGAATTTAATATTATGTATTTAATAGTGGCAAGAATAATAATTTGTAGAGAGAATTTCTATACTTATTTATGTTTTTTTTTACATAGTTAAGAAAAAGTCATCTTGCAACACATCTAGAAACATCCAGGGTGCGAGCATATTCAGTTGGAAGTCAGGCATCAACAAATACAAAGAAAAATGTAAATAGTATAGAATCAGAACTGGGAACATTAAAAAACATTGATGCTAGAGCATCAGTTAAATCATCTAGTGCACCACTTCTTCCCAGTGGAGCACAGCGTCATCGTACATCATCAACTAAAGATTACAATGAAGATCTTATGGAAATAGATTATAATCAGTCGTCATCACATTCTAAAAGTAAAGTTGGGAACAGTCACGATAATTCTGATCATACAAGACGTTTTACTGTTAGTAACACTCGACAACGTTCCAATAGTCGTTCATCGTCAGGTACTTCTCCAATGTCTTCTCTGATGGAATTAACTGAGAAACCTGAAAGGAATAAAAACAATGAAAATAAAGAACTGCAAAGATAATATATAAATTTGTAATAACCACAAAAGTTTGCAAAAAGTTTAACAACAGTAAACCATTGTTATGCAGACCATTTCTAATCTATTCATGTCATTCATTGTTCACAAGAATTTGTATTAGCAATTATTTTTGTATTTTGTCTCATCATTACAAATAACAATAAAGAGTAAATATTTAATATTGTTCTTTGCTTCATCATTAAATTTTGTTGCAAACTGAATTCTTTCAGACCAGATATTTTAAAAATCTGTAATACTTCTTAATTAAATGATGAGTAAGACAAAAGTCAGCAACATATGGTTCTTTGAAAACATTTCTGCACATTCCAGCATCATTCTCCTGATATTTGTATGCAGAATGTCTTAACTGATGATATAGGTCAGCAGTTGATGAATTTCTACATCTCAGTGAAATGTTTACTATAAGATATCTATACTCCATTGTTTTATCTGTGGTATACAAAGTACAATATTTTTTCATTGACGACAATCTAGAAAATTGATTCTGCAATACAATAGTAGTATTGTATAATCAGTTTTCCAGCATTTACATTGGTAATGACTTAAGTATAACTATATCAGAGAAATATTTTTTGTTGTTCAATGACAAGCTTTTAAAACATCTGTACAGCTTTATGGCCAGAGAATTACTGGAGTGAATACAATAGAGATGCAGCTTAGAAATGTGGCCAACCTTAACAAAATTTTTGTTTAATTTATTATTAATAATGATTAAAATTTTGGATATTTAACTTATTTGTATCCAAAGAAAGAAACTAATTCTCATATGAAAATAAGCAATTATAAGAAATTAATAAAAATATTCTCACATTTATTTCAATTATCTGTTTCTGTGCCACTCAAGATAATTTTTATACTATTTTTATGTCTCATATATTTTAATGAGCGTTATATACCGACATACGCATTTAAAAAATTCTAAAACAAAAAACATTCCCTTACAAGTATTGTTTTAGATATTTAATATTAGGATATAGTTTTTAAAACAACATTTCTCAATCACTTGATGATTATGTTGAGAAAATATTGGTTATTGTCATTGATAAAGATGATATAAAATAAATTAATTTAAAGTAACCTTTCATGTTGTTTGCCATATTTGTTATTAATAATAATAATGTGTTAAAATGTTGACAAAAATGGAAGTGTTAAAACGTTAACTTTGAACATAGTTAATTAATTAAAAAAACTTTCATAAATACATAAAATAATGAAATTAAAATGTACATTTTAACTTTAATCATCAATTTTTGAAATTAGACACATTAGGAAGTTAATGTGCATTGTAATTTTAAAGAAAGAAGGATTACTATTAGTTATTTCAAAAGTTTAAAGTTGAAATTATCTTACCTCTATCTGCATGAAATTTTTCACAAGTTTTTACAAAAAAGCAAACATCATCTCTATTCACTTCATATTCCTAAAATAAAGTTTAAAAATATATAACTGTTATAAGCGACTGGTTATAATAGATCCTGTTCAATTGAAGAGCTATTAAATTACAAAAATTCAATTATTTATAATCCATATAAATTTATTAGTAATTAAAATTTTATCACAAATATTTAACTTAGATTTTCTTTTTTCCAAGTCTGTTTCTAAATTTATAATTGTTCATTTATTACTCCTTGCATATCACTTTCTCAATTTGGAAGTAGTGCTAACATTTCTTGCATTCTAAGTGATATCAACTATAATCATGCCTTCCCAAATTTCATAAGAGTAGTTTATTTATTTTTATCAATTACTCAGCTATCAAGAAGTGTATTATTTATTGAAAACTTCTTTCTTATTTTAAAATATTTCAATATTTTAATATACGTAATTAGAATAATTAATGTTTTTATATTTTGTTTTTCTTTTTACTCTGAGTTGGCTGTTACTTCATTATTTTGGGAATGACAATCATTGCTATTAATGCAATGATTTCCACTCCCAAATAAAAGGTGTTTTTTTATATTTATAATTTACTTTTTTAACATTTATATAGTGCATCATTGCATATGTCAACTGGAATATTAATTAATGTATTTATATACAAATCAAATCTTTTACAAAATACATACTAATCATTTAATAAATTATATAAAATAATTAAAGAAAATTAAATTTGACTTACATTGCTAAATTTTAACATAATAAAAAAAAGGATTGAATGTAAACTATCACTTGAATATTCATAAAGCTATTTAAATATAAAACTGAAAAATATATCAAATAAAAATTTATGAACTGAAACAAAATTTTCAATCTTACACATAGTGGAGTTGATTCAGTGATCCATGTTACACATTTTTCAGATAATCTTGATAAACAGAATTCAGGAATGTTTTGTAAACTAATATTGATTTCATCATTCCACATAAATTTGGCAAACTATAAAATAATGAAAACTATGTTAATCTTAAATTAAATAATATAAATTTCAAAAAACACAAGACGTTATTAGATGAAATCAATGAATTAGTTAACACAGTCTGATCGAATTATGTAATCACTAAGTTCATAAGAATAATATTTTGATTATTAATGCTATAATTTTATTTATTTATTTTCATTTTCCCAAATTTTATTCATTATTTGCAAATCATTTTGCTTTAACATGTAGATATTTTTTTTGTGATTACAATGAAGATCTAAATAAAAGAATCAAATGTATTAAATGAAAATTAAACAGATGGGTAATAAAATTAAGAATCAAATTTCAAAATAAAATTATATTTGATGAAATTTTTTTCTAAGAATTTTCTACAGTTTAGTCTATTTTATGCTAAAAGGTCTCTAGGTAAATTTAACCAAGGTAAAACATGAAACTACAATTCTAAATGAATTAATATCTTTAATGTACAAAATATCAATTCATAACAGTAATTTGTAGAAACAAAGTTAAAATAGAATTGAGGATTTTCAAATATAGTACTGTGTCGATTATCCAAATGCTGATCAACCGAAAGTGTTCCAGTCAGACTGTGTTGTGTTGAATTGAACATTTTGGATACTAGATTAACTTCTAAAGTATAATTTTTTTTTGTTTTTATATTTTTCAATATATTTATTTTGTTTGTACAAAATAAAGAAATAATTTTTAACGATACAGTAGCCATGATTATTATTAAAAAAATTTTCATTAGGCTTAACATTGACGAAAATGCAACATGAAGCGACATGCAACAGAAAAATTTAAACATGGGATATATTAATATACTATTATTGGGATATACTAATATACTATATTAATAATGTATTTTTTCATACATAATCGGTTATCCGAAAAATCGATTTTCTGAACAATCCCAGTCCCGAATTGATTCGGATAATCAACACTCTACTGTATATAAATATACTTATATATTTGAAAATCCTCATCAGTCAAAAGTTTTTACTGATTGTCCTTATATATATATATGGACAATCAGTAAAAAAGCAAACATCATCTCTATTCACTTATAAGTAAAATTACTAATTACTTTATATA